GAGGGTTTAGGGAGGGTTTAGRGGTCAAAACATTTTTTAGTGTTTAGAATTTTAAGATATAGAGTTTAAAAATTTATAATTAGTGACATTTTTGTAAATTAACATTTTTAAGTGGCATTTTTTGCAAATATGCGCATAAAAAGTGGCATTTTTGCAATTTCTCCTTAATTCATTCATTTCTAATTGATTTACTTTATATATGCTCAGATCACAAAAAAAATGTATGAATTAATTAATTCATTTCTAAATGATTTAGTTTACGGTTTAAATGTGATCATGTATGTTATATTGATTTTGCTAAAAAAAAAGATAGAAAGTATGTTTGATTTCGATTAGAAATGAATCCATATAAAAAAAATTAGAAAGAGAGTGTTAAAAATCACATCGAAAATAAAATAATGAAACCTAAAAAGTTATATAAAAGACATAAGTCAATCTTGCCAGTTAGAAACCTATAAACCTAACAAATAATTAAAATCGGTTTCTGAAAAGATTAATCTTTCTAAAATATAACGTCATACTGAAATTCATGTGATTTGGAGAATTGAAATCCATTTTTCAATATATTTGAGTTCGAAGATTTTAGCGTTTAGTAAATTGTATGAAATACTATTTTGGTTAAAACAAATTATAAGGTTCTCAACAATGGAAGTTGTTCATTGGGCTTCCTAAAGATGAGCATTGAGAGAAAGAGATAAGTATGTGCGTGAATTGTGAATTAGTGGTGAATTGCAAGCTGGATTCCTATTTTGCTGACTTAAAAATACAAAATGGTGAGTTGCAGCTGGATTCCTATTTTTTTTTTTTTTTCCTTTTAAGTGTATGTACTTAAAATTTTAATTATTACTTTAATCCAAAACTTAACTACTATTACACTCCTTTCGTCCGAACAAGGCCAAAGAAGTCACGACTTTGAGATCTTTTGACCATGTCGGCGACAGAATCGTTTGACTTCTTTATAGTATGGGCTGTTGAAGCCCATTGGCTAGAAAAACAATCCATACAATTGTTAGGCCCATTTAGGCCCATTTATATTAACGGGAATTATACTTTGTAGCATTGGAACTAGGGTGGAATTATTATCCCAGATTTAAGATCCGTTATCGGTACGGAATTGCTCCGAAAATTAAGATATTCAGGGAGCGCGGATCCGGATAATGATAGTAAAATTTAAGATCCGTGAAAAGAGGATTCGGATCCAGATAACAAAATATTTAAGATTCGGATATCCGCATCCGGAATCAGACGCATTAAATATATTAAAAACATATATGTTATATATATACTAAACTAATTTTATTTAAATAAATATATATAAAAATTAATTTTAATTTTTTTATAATAAATTATATTTATAATAAAAAATACCATTAAAAATACTAATAATTTTTAAAAATATATTTTTATTTATTTATTAATTATTTTTTAATCAATTTCGGATCCGGAATCCGTCGATATCTAGAATCCGAATATCTGGAAATCACGGATTTTTAAAGTATTCAAATCGATATCCGGAATCCTCCCACCAGTACTTACAAAGTTTTCACTCGCGTCTTTAATCAATCAGAAGCGAAAAATGAAGGCCGAGTCAAGCAACGAGTCTTTTAAAATCGGGCAGCGAGTCCACTCGCTCAACGATCCGCGTCGTGTGGGTACCGTGAAGTACGTCGGAGGTGTGGAGGGTTACTCCGGAACCTGGATCGGCGTTGATTGGGATCAAGACGGCGATGGGAAGCACGACGGTTCCGTTAATGGCGTTTTCTATTTCAATGGCCGTTCTCAGAGCTCTGCCTCCTTTGTTCGTTCCCAGAATCTTAGCCGTGGTATTACGCTGCTTCAAGCCTTGGACCTCAGATATCGAACGACTTCGACTAAGGACGAGGAAGGTCTGCATTGTGTTCAGTACACATTTCTTTGATTAGATATGTTTCTTGGTGAATGTTATGGTTAGATTTCAGTTATGGAATTAGGGATTTGGTGGAGATGAATTGTTGTTTTCTTGGAGTTGGTTTTGGTTTTGAAGTAATGTATGTCCTTCTTTTTGTTGTTATAGACGAAATGTATGTTCTTTCTGCGAAGAACAAACGTGTTTCGATTCAGCTTTTGGGAGGGGACAAGATCCAGGATAAGTTAAGTCATTTTGAGGAGCTCACTAGTGCTTCTCTTTCTTATCTTGGTGTTAGCTCTCTTGGAGTTTCATCTGACTTGGGTTCAATTCTACCAAGTAAGATTTAATCTACTTTCAGCTTTGCCATTGTCAAAAACACTGTGTGACTCTCTCTCTCTCTTGCTCAATACCTTTAACATTGCTTGTTTCATTTGCATAATGTGTTCCAGATTTGAAGCAGCTGGACTTAACTGGAAACTTGATATCTGACTGGGAGGTACCAGGATTTTCTGCTTGGCTGTTCTGTAACATTGCTAGTAACTTATGCTGCCTAGATTTTATTCAGCGTCACCTAAAAGATATCCTTAGATTGACAGTTTATGATTGGTCATACGTTTTTGGCTTCCAGGAAATTGGTGCTCTTTGTGAACAGTTACCAGCCCTTACAACACTTAATTTGTCTAGCAATTCTTTGTCAAATGATGTCACCTGTCTGCCACAGCTAAAAAATATCCGTGTTTTGGTTCTGAATAATAGTGGTATGAGCTGGACTCAGGTGATCTATAATTCTTTACCTGACGTGTTACTTTTGCTTTTGAATTAATTGAGCACCATCACCATTGGGTAACTTTGATGGCTCTTACCGTAATGGAGCAGGTTGAGAAACTTAGGCTTTCATTACCTGATATCGAGGAGTTGCATCTGATGGGGAACATGATATCTGCCATAACGGTAATATTTTATTTGTAGTTCCAATGCTTGCTCAGTTGCCCCAAGTAGATTATAGTCTGGATATGCTTGGAAAACATTTGGTCTCCTTGATTACGATACTTGAAATACACTCATTCCTACACTTTTTTTGCTTTGAAAACTTGGGTGTTCAGTTTGCAAATTGTGAATCCCCTGGCCCCTGTTTAACCCCCTGGTTGCCTCTTGCAGTCGACATCATCTGAGAATCAAGCATTTAATTCTCTTAGACTTCTGAACTTGGATGATAATTGTATCTCAGAATGGAATGAAGTATTAAAGCTATCTCAACTTCCATGGTCAGTAATAATTATTCTCCCTTCTATGTGTTGTTAATGGATCATATAAATTGCACTGTTGATACTTGTCAAAAATTGATCATCTAAACGTTGTTTCTCAGCTTGGAACAGCTTTACCTGAACAAGAATAAGCTGTCAAACATCGTTCACTCTGTAAATGACAATGAATCATCAAAGAAAAGTAGCGACCCATTTCCAAGTTTGCGTTGTCTTCTTCTAGGTAATACCTTCAAGTGTTATGTCCCCTTTCTTGAAAATTTTCCATTTATCCCACCCATTGTATTTTTCAGGTGCCAACAACCTTGGTGATCTGCCCTCGATAGACGCACTGAACGTGTTTCCTAAGTTGGTGGTATTACTCTTCTGTTCCGTAATACTTTAATAGATAAGGGCACAAGCATTAATAACACAGTGGCATTCTCGGTGTTCCTGCAATCCTTAGATGTTCATTATGAACTAATAGCACTGAAACGCTAGCTAGACGTTTCAAAATAGTGTACTTTAACTGAATTCCCCTCTTCAAGTAATAGGACATCAGGCTTTCGGATAATCCAATAACTGATCCTGTAAGAGGCGGTGTCCCGAGATTTGTTCTTGTTGCACGGTTGACAAACGTACAGGTGCTGAATGGGAGTGAGGTAGAACAAGTTGCTGAAAAATTGTTCAGCATATTGTTACCTTTCACTGCTCTTTAAAATCTGATTCTATCGTTTTTTTTTCAGGTCAGAGTTCGTGAGAAGAAGGAATCTGAGATCCGGTATATCATCAACTCTTCTTTTCTTGCCAGGGGAAAGTTCTCCCTTTTCATTACTTAGTTTTATTTTGGATACTCACAGGTATGTCCGAATGGTGATGTCAAAGTTAAATAACAACTCTGGGGAGATTGAGCTGCTCCACCCTAGGTACATTTCGCAAAACTGTTTTATCTTCTTCAAATCTAATCTTCACACATACAAAATAGTAAAGGGTATTATTTTGGTTTCCGGATCCTGTTTTCTTCCTGCATGCAAGTTTCTGGCAGAAATTGATATAGGAAAGTTTTCCCTTGTGATATTTTCAGGTTTTATGAACTCAAGAAGCTTCATGGAATCGAGGATGAAAGAGCATCAGCTGAGAACACCGGCCCTAAGAATATGGCATCTGGTCTTATATGTATGTCTCTTTAAGTACTTCTTAAGGATGATTCATTGATGCCACTACAGAAGCTGTTTTTATATTCACTATGACATATATGCAGCCATTACTCTCAAATGCGTTGGTCCATCGATGGGTGAAAAGCCTCAGCTGACAAAGAAGTTACCAGGCAGTATCACGGTTGTTACTTATTCTCTCCTTTGTCTCGAGAATCCAAAGTCTAAACTGTGAAATGTGTTCCGTTGTGTTAAAGCTTTCGATTGGTTTTCCGAACAGGTTGGGAAGCTGAAGATCTTATGTGAGAACTTTTTCAAGCTCAAGTCCATCAAGCTTAGATTATTTCTTCATGAAGAGGTTAGTGAAAGAAACGTTTCGACTATACGAATGTTTTGTATCTCTATTTTGTTCACCATATCAATTGACCAAATATACATTTGCCATGGCAGGGCTCGCCTTTTCCTACACCTTTCGACGACGAGACAGCAACATTACTAGACGTCGGAATCTGCGACGGCTCCACAGTTCTTGTTGACGAAGAGAGTTAAGACCATCACATTCACATACACACTCTTGAGAATTTGATCTCTTTTCTTAATGGATTGTGAATCATATTTTAAACGATAACACTAGTAGGCAAAATCTTTCATATAAAGTTAAAAGTAAAATATTGAAATTGAGAAGAGAAAAAACATATATATTTTTTAAGAAAGCTCAATGATCTTGGTTCGTTTTCTGCATTCTTCACCCAAAGAGCTCTCCTTCTCCTCTTCGTCTTCATCGCTATCACTCTCATCACTGCTTGAATCTCCACTTTTAGTAGTCAAACCATTGCCTGCAATAGCTGCTTCAGCAGCTCTAACAGCTTCAGGTGTGTTGAGATCAGCGACACCGAGCATCAAATCCATCTCGATAAACTCAGATTCGTCTTCCTTAACCGCTTCGATATCACAAGCTTCTGGGTTTTTTCTTGCCTTTTCCTCCAATTTTTTGTTCGATTCCGCCATGACCCCTAAGAAACCTTTTAATTTGTCATGAAATTGGCTTTTAGGAACTGGACCAATCGTTGGCCTCGATGGAG